TATATATATATATATATATATATATATATTTTACATCAATTCCTACATTCTCACTTCACCTAAACTCACAACCGATTAAAATTATGTTGCATATGGATGGGATAATAGATTTTTGCTCTGAATATCTCACCAGGTATCATGCCTTGTATCATAGCCTTGAATAATCATTTTTCAAGCATCTTAAGTTACTGTGATTAGATTGTACCTTGATTAAGTTTTCCATTGGCAGCAAGTGGGCCCAGGTAGTGCAAAATCAGTTATGGAGGGTGTTGGCATGAAATTCGAAATGGAATTGCTTTCTCTGCTTGCATGGTCAGTAGTTTATTCATTTATTTTGCTTAAATTCTCCCTTACTAAGTTTAGCTCTGACAGAAATCTACAAAAATATTTCAACAGGATAATAAGGAAGGAAAATGCGAATGTCCTCCTGAATTTAAAGGCGACGGTGTTAACGGTTGCGAAGGCAAGAGTTTTAGTTTGAACTGAATTGTGAAACTGGCCCCTAGTTTATTAGATCAAGGATTAGCTCTTATCTCTTATGCATATCGACTAGCAAGTTGTGGCCAAAGGCTTTCGTGGTTCTGAAATAATAACTTGACATGCTAATTTTGGAGGACGTATTAAGCTTTATTCAAATGGCAACTATGCTTGAATATAATCGTGAAAAGCTAGATAAATATTATAAAGCTGTGTATCGAGAATACGATGATGAATGGATGGTTAGATATAGTCAATATTTGGTACATGTTACTTAAGAGGACTGGACATTATACTAAACACGGTTTCAACTTTATTCACATTGATGACACCGTCCAATACTATCTCATCCTCTCCGACAAACAAGCCAAAAGGATAGATAGATCCCCATTGATGCTCATTGGTTGGTTTGTACTGGTGGTATTTGGGAAATTTCATAAATAAGTGTCGCGCCAAAATAGGGGTTGGGTTCTCAGTTTATTGTAATCCCTTTCAGTTTTCCATTCGATATATACACAAAAGTGCAATACAGATGAGGTTCCTACGAGTATAATACTGGAGCTAACCGTTCAAGCAGTTCTTGCTGAACTATGTAAATTGTTTTCCTATTAACATCTGTTTTTGTGTAATTTCTTCTAACCATACAGACATTGATGAATGTAAAGAAAAGAAAGCCTGCCAATGCCTTGAATGCAACTGAAAGGATACATGGGGAAGTTAAGATTGCACTTGTATAGAGGACCTATTGTATATCCGGGACCATGATAACTGCATAAGTGAGATCACTTGCAAATTGTTGTTGCGTTGCTTATGCTTAAACAGTGCATATCCAATTCCTGCTGGCATGTGCAGGTCAGAGAGCTACTGAAGTAAAATCTTTGTGCGCGCTGCTGTTTGGGTTATTTTAATTGGATTGGCAATGGCTGCTGGCGGGTGTATCTCCTATACAAATATAAATTGAGGGTAAGTTTTCTATTCACAACTTTTTGTGTATTAATCATGGCTGCTTCTTTTAATTTTGACCATCAAAGTTTGATGCTATGGCAAGAATATCAATTGCCACTTTCCCCATTCGATCTGTTTGTCCTCTATTACTTTGTCTAAAAATAATTAATTCTTGAACATAGTTAAGAAGAACACAAGTTCATATCATATTTCTACAGAAAAATTCAACAATGTTCAGTAATATTAAGGTTCAAATTCGATTGAAAATTTTATGGTTTCGAAATTATCTTCATCTATCATTTCCACAACTTCTGATTAAAATTTCTGCTTTAACTAATTTATGAGATGGAAGGATTATGAGACTTTTCTTTTTCTCTTTCTTTTCTGTGGGAAGAGAGAAATCCTATTGTTCTTGTGCTGACCATCAAATTTGAAGTTGGGAAGAGAGAAATCCTATCCATTTTACATTTCTAGATCGATAAAACTATTTTCTGATATTATATATCACATCCCATTCATTTGAATGATACACAAAATGTGACGAATATTGAAGTAGAAAAGAATTTCTAGGGTTTTTGTTGGTACAGGAAATTGAATCATTAAATCGAACAAATTTTACCGTATTGTTCTGGGATTCTTTTTATTGTTCTGTTCTTTTTGCATAGTATAAATTTCCAAACAAAAAATTTACAACTTCGTCCTATAATTGTGAAAGAATTAACATAAATATCTATCATCTCTCTTGAAGCAACAAGGTAAGAATCGGCTCATCGATTATAAAATTGGGAAAATTGCGACATTAGTCCATAACTTATTAAGCAGTGACACATAAATCACCAACACTTAAAATGAGCTAATTGATCCTTCGTTTATTTATTTTTTCAACTTGAATTGGCACTTAGAAAGTTGAAGCCAAATATAGATTCATG